AATAATGGTGACAACATCGATAGCAGCCCTAGAAACGAGAAAGATGACCTACAGAAATCAAATGATCTATTGACAAACATAACGAAAGGTCTGGTGATAATATTAATAAAAGGCTTTTTGTGACTACAGTTTTTCACGATTAAATCATAAATTTAAATTGAATGAAATTTTTCTTTATTATAAGGTGTAAATTTTTTTAACGTTTTATTTATCAAATTTAAGGTAATTACCAAACAAGAACTTCGAACTATAGACCAGTCGAAAATCAGAACGTAGAGACATTATATTCACCTTGGCAAGAAGTGAATAGTAGTCCTCGCTTTCTACAATTACTTGTAGCTAACAATGTGATTGGTCGGGTGATTGGACGTGCTGGAAGTAAAATTAATCAAATTACAGATGAATCTGGAGCAATAATAAGTATCGCCAAAGCTCAACCAAGAAATACCCAACGAATGATAACGATTAAAGTGAGCATGTTATAGAATAATTTTCAAGTTTCATACAATTATACCTTTTGATCAGAGTGGGTAAATCGTATATTTTTGGTAATGGTTGATAAATATTACATAATATTTTAGCGAATAAATCTTAAAATAAAAACTTACATTTTAGGGCACTTTTGAAGCCATTCAAAAAGCGAAAGCTCTAATAATTGATGCAGTTAAAGGACAAGATAATCGGCCTGGAAGTATAGAAAACGTACGAGAAACCGTTCAAATTCATAGATCTTTGCTTCCTAAAAATAACGTATCAAACCAGGGTAGCGATTACACTGGTGATTTCGATTCCTCAATCCTTAGTTCTGGGTAATCTCTTATGTTCTTACATTGTTATACATCTTGTTTTGTGTACGTCAACAGAAATTAACTAATATATTTAAACTATATAACTTTAGTGGACCATCAATTTCATCTTCTGAAGCTGTATCTGTTGGCAGTATGTCGACCAATAGGAGCCTAGGGGAGAATAAATCTGTTGATGCCATGCTGTTATCTGAAGGTATGATGCCTAGTCATTGTGCTATAGAGCAATCGATTCTTACCCACGCTACTGCAATAGATACGGAATCACGAATGCAAAATGGCAAGTGGAGCAATCAAAACAGTTCTAAACATGGTGGTAAACTTCTTGAAACATTAATGATAGGTACTGATGTTAGTGCAGTAGCAAGTGATGATATTATGTCAACGAGAGCACTAAGTGAACCTACAGCTGATTCGGCACCATCTCAGTGGCCTGGTACAGATTCTAATCGAATCAGACAGTTATCTTACTCCCTTTGGGGCGATACAGATCCTATGAGCCTGCAGGAAGAAACTGATAGTTTTCGTAATCCAAGTTATCGACTATCGCATGGTAATGACCGCGGTAAAAACAATCGATATGCAACGAAGCGAAATGCGACTTACAATGGCAATGAAAGCCAACTGTCACGATTAGGGGATTTGTCAAAGAGTGGATGGTCAGTCCATCGTTCTCGAACCTTTCCTATGACTACTAACTACAGCAACAAAAATGTAGATGGTCAATGGCATCAACAACAGATTATTTCGAAATCTTCAAAACCTTCAGCAGATGATAGAAAATTTCAACAAATAGAATTCGGTAGCAAAGACATGAATAGAAGTAGAAATAGGTCTACTGATAGGAAAATTACTCAAGACCCTGTAAATAATTTGTGGCAGATCAACAAGAAAACAAGAGATAGCAAACCGCCTCTACACCGTAATTTCGTCAATAATAATTTTAGAAACGGTATGGAAAATCCTCAATCAGTACACAATAAAGTAAACAGTGGAAAAGTTGATTTTGGAAATGGAGAGATTGGACATCGTAGCAACGCATATGAATCTAATCATAGAGGAAGTATTTTATACAGAAATTTGTATAAAGAGAATCCTAGAAGACCTACATCGTTACCTGTATACCCTCCCACGGAACAAGATGTCAAAGCTGTTGAACTGCCAGCAACTTTTCCTAAATCAAATGGCTCATTATCAAATTCTGTCCAAAATAGTGCAACTCCATTGAATCTATCAGCATACAATAGACAAATCCATTGGCAGTCTACAGGAACTCCTACAAATCTCGTTAACAATCCAGATATAAACATTCCGAAATCGGTTAATGCTGATAATAAGACTCCAAATTCAATGCGGTGGTCTGATTATACTCCTGAAGCAGATCTCAGCAATACCAATTACTCAACGTATGGTTTATGGAACAAATCGAATGATATTAAAAGTATGAAACGGCTATCTTTGGACTCTAATATTCCACCAAATGAAAGTAGCCATGGCTATTCTATGTCTGCTATGCCATATAGTTTAGGTGAAGCTACTTCACATTTTAATTTCGAGAAAAATGAAGGTGACAATTTTTCAAGCAGAAGAAGACAGCACCTTGCTGTTAGAAGCGATGAACCTTCAATGCTGTTGAATCAAGCTGATGATGTTCTACTATTTCTTAGACAATTATCCTTGGAAGGGTATTGGGAAATTTTTAAGGTAATATATCTTGCATGGTATATGCTATGACGTGGTTAAAATTGCTAAATTATTGTCGATAACCTGATCATATGTTAAAAATATGACACTTTTTTTTATTTGTAGAAAAATAATATACGGTTACCCAGATTGATAACCATGAGGGAATCCGAAATTCAAAGCTTAGGCATATCAGAGGTACAAATTTTGACGGTTACAATAACATTATCTACCATTACGTATGCAATTATGACGTACATAAGGTAAACTTATTCCTTGATGGTTTAAAATTTGATATTTATAGGGTCATAGTAAAAGGCTTGCCGAAGCATTGAAACAAATAAGGTTGCAACATCTACACGGAAATCAATCATTTTTAGCTAATCGGTCGCCTAGCGGAAATTCAATTCAGAATTATCTAACTAATTGAGATTATTGCGAATTTATAAAAATTTAATATCGAATCATACTAGCTGATCACCCGCACGGCGGAATTTCGAGATATAAAATTATTTAACTTGTTAACTATCGATTTTCGAGTTTGAGAAGAATGAAAATGACTACTAAATCAATTATAATGCTTTTACACTCAATTAATTACTCTATTCGACCAATGCTTTGCCTTATTATTTTGCGAAAGTGGAAATGCAAATTCGATTAATGATATATGTGCTTTTATCTAAAAAATTTTATTCCATGTAGTTATCGTAAGTAATTAATTATGAACACTACAGTTATCGCAAGCAAAACGTTAATTATATTAATCATGCTCTACTTTTATGCAGTTTATAAATATCTATCTTATGTTGCCTCGAAAAGGAACAATTATTCAAATACTACATTCGTAATTATCTTCTTCGACATTTAAAGCAGATTTATAGATCTTTGATTATATTGCTATCTGCAAGTCATTTCGAAGGCAATATGCAAAAATACAGTCATAATTACGCTACTTTTACTAGGTATATACAAACATGAATGACAGAACGACTAATGTCTACATTAAATTACTACGCATCGATTTAACCTTTTAGCACACGAATAAATTACGTTTTACTTTCAGGAAACAAATGTATCGATCTATAAATAAAATCTATTATAGGTAATATAATGGTTGATTTTCATGATCTTACGTTTATAAAAACGTCTCTTTATCATGCTAGCCTGCTAGTTTATTAATTGATATACTAGGAAAGTAGATTTAAAATTGCTTGAATACTGCCATTTTTATTTGATATGATTATGCGACATTCTTGTGCATGCAATTAACGAAGTACTACTAAACTGAGAAATTCGGGTTAAGAACCTCGTAGATTGTATAAATTTCGCAATACAGTACTACTAAGGCATCCTGAATTTCTATCCTAACGGCAGATACCAAGGCGATACGATGCCTAGTTAATACATTTTTTGTATTTAGAACCCAATTTTGATCATTAGCGATAACTACTGTAAATGCTAAGTGATCGATTTTCCCGTAATTGTGCTACAGTAGGTGATCATAATCTAATTAATAGTTGATGTCTTAAACTTATAAGGTATAACTTACAGCAGATTTTGCGTCATTGTTACTACTTTATCCCAAAATTTGATCGTAACGCTCGACGTTCACCAAGTCAAACCTTATCCCTCCTTCCGTGGGTTAGCCCATGGTTTGACTATAAATAGTACGGCAAACCCAATAATGGATAAAGAAACCATAAAAGTTGTTTATTTACGAAATAAAAACGATAGCAAGGATATATTTTATTGTCTTCCTTTAACTGGAGACATACGTCCACCAGCGGCCACAATTATATTATGTAATGCCAGTAAATACAGTACACCAATTAGAACAGATGCCTACGAAGGTATCAATATTATGATACAAAATCATACAATTCAATCATTATTAAGACTTTACAAGTATATAAAAATCCGTATTAAAATCGATAATCAAGCCAATAATTTATTTGATTGGTAATTTTCTGTTAGACCTATAAATGTGAGAATATAAAATTTTGTCCTTATAGAAATGGTATTCGATTTATGGATCTTTAAGCACGATTTACAACTTCTAGGATGACTATGAAACTAAATTAATTTTTTATTTGCTATCATTTAATCAGAATAAAACTTTACCGTAATACTATAAAAATTTTATAGTGCAGTGACTTTAGCACTGAAGTTGAATTTTTAATTACTAATAAAATTGCTAATATTTCCTACAGTAAAATGCAATGTTTGCCTAGTTTAACATGATTAGTTGCCCTTACTCCGGCATTAGCTTCACTACAAATGGATATGAAATAATTGCTCAGCTTCTAACTTGTTACCAGCACCTAATTTGGCTACAATTATTCCTTAGATACGATAGTAGCAGTTAATTGAAAAAGTGAAAATTTCGTGGGAATACATCGGTGGCAAAATATTAAGACAGTTATTAATAAAATATAGAAAATTAACATTTCTTTCAATATTCTCTTAGGCTCTTAAAATAGTCTTCGGATAATGGTGACTGAATGAATTAACTTAATTCAAAGTTGCTATTTCAGGATCATTCCACGTTAGCGCAACGTTATAGAATTTTTGAGCTTCATTATGATCGCCTAAGTGATATAATAATTCCGCCATGTAATAGCTGGTTTTAGCTATTTTAAAATGAGAGCTCCCATATTTGTCTAACTCAATTCCAATAGACTGTTTAAAGTAATCCAACGCAGTTATAAACTGACCTTCAGCATAACTGACTTGGCCCAGACAATAGTAAATATTTGCTGTTTTAGCATGCTGATAACCAAAATGGATCTTAAAGATTTGTAAGGCGTACTGATAATATTGCTTTGCTAAATTGAAATCTTTCATCATGTGGTAGGTTTCACCTAAATAAAAACTTGTTTGGCCTACACGGATATGATTCCGGCCCAATTTGTGAATTTCGATGTCAAATGCATTTAAATATTCTGTTATAGCCGATTGAAATCGATTTCGATAGAAATGTAGCTTAGCTAGTGCGAGATAACTATTTGCAAGATCTAAACTGTGCTCATTAAAATGCTGAATTTTAACATTTAGAGATTTATTAAGATGTTGTATTGCTTTGTCGCTTTGCTCAATGCTAATATAATTTGCCAGACCAATTATATGATGGGTTGCAGCAACATTGACATGGCCATTGCCTAAATAGCTGATTTTGATTGTTAACGATTTTTGAAGATATCGTAAGGCATTTGTGGGCTGACCTAAATAGCATAACACTCTTCCTATTATTTCGTACGTAGAAGCAACACTTAAATGCTCTGGACCCATTTTTTGCAGACGTATTGCTAATGATTTCTGTAAATATTCCAGAGATTGATTGTTCTTACCAATTTGGCAGTATATTTTCCCTAGTAATGCATACATGGCTTTAGCCGTTATCCCATTGTAGAGGCAAAGGTTGTGAAATCCACGATATATAAGTTGATTTTCGGGAATAGAAATAAAGATTTCACGGCTACCTTTCCACGTTTGTTTCTCACTTTCGACTGCCTCAAAAGCTACTAACCACTGATCAGCATAGATTTTAGCCTGATGATAACTATTATGTATGCAAAAGCTATAACTAAGCCAAGCTGCTGCTTGAATCATTAGAGGTCGTAAAATAGGATGAATTTTAGCATGTTCAAATGCGACTTGTAAGTGTCTGATAGCTAATTGACTTATTTCCCAGTTGATTTTGTCGCAATAGTCTAATCGTAGTTGATCAATAAAATAAGTAATTATAAAACTTAATAGATTAACTTCTTCACCCTTTATAGTAGCCATACAACGTATAACTGTTTGCAAACATCGACTGATCGAATAGTTATGTTCATCAATGCAATTAATCAGTCCATAAATATGAAATCGACGTAAAATGGATAACAACTGACTCTTTTTGCTACTGATCCTTTCTATTATTCCGTAAAGGAAACGAATTTCGATCTTATTCGGATCTAGATAGGCTAAAATACTAATCACCGTTTCTGCTGTAGGGTTATTTTCTGATGCTAATTGTACATTTATATACCAAGGCAGAATTAAGTTTATATCAAGCGCTTGATTTAGGTTTGTAACAACCATAGAGGGAAGAGAATACATAGCATTAATTAAGGGCTTTATTTCTCGTTCTACTTGGCGATATTTATAAACGTAAGATGCAAGGGAAATATCTTGTTGATAAATAAAAGTTTTAGCTAAAAATAATGCTAAAGGTAAGTCTTTCATTTTCGAAGCAATGTTATTAGCGCTTTCTCGGTCATCTTGATTTAAACATTTGCAAAGGTAATAAATGGACAATTGACGATCGAATATATCTACCTTAAGAGTAACAAACCTTGTAAATGGGGCTGCAGAGATGACGATTATGTAGCAATGGTAACGTTTAGGAAAGTAACGATGAATCCACTCATTATCTTCAGCATTATCATAAATTAGAAGTAATTTACCAGTAATTGGATCAAGTAATAACTTTAGGATTGCTTCAATTAATTCATTAGTATCACTGTTACAATGACTTATCTGTAAGAGATTTTGCCGCTGTTTGGCTTTTACTGTTAAATCTTTATAGTAAGTGGAGAAAATTTTCGATAATTTACAAATTTGTTCATTTTTACGATGACGATATTTATCAATAAGCATAGCACCTAATTGAACAAAATCTTGCTGCAATGAGAGTATAGAATCAGCCTTTAAATAATAGATTACGTCGAACTCGCTTTGATGTAAAATTGCGTAATGTATTGCTAAAGACGTTTTGCCAGTGCCACATGAAGTTTTAAATTGGTTATGGTGCAACCGATATAAATTTTCAATTTTTTGCCCCTGGCAAAAATCAGCTCTACAGTTTTTAAGTAATTCAGAATCAAGTAATTGCTCACTTAGATTTTCTTTACTTTGATATGTGTCAGAAATATCTTGATATTTTAGGAGCCAGCATTCATCTAACATATATCCTTCGAAGTATTTGTTAGTTTCGCTTATGCCGTCGTTTCCATCCTTGATGATACATTGACGACTACCATTTTCGAGTACCTCTTGGCTTTTGCTTCTATGCTCTCTGGAGTGATTGGTTTTATATTTTGGCGACCATCCAATGCTAAACTGTCCTACTAATTCATGTTCCGCTTTCAGTATTTCGTTATTATACCTAATTGAGTCAGTTCCTATCAACTGGCTATCTTTGCTTGTCAACGAATCTAGATAGCTATTATCAGAATCTTTCGATTCATTCTGATTTGTATTATATTCATCACTACAATCAGTCAACAGATCAAGCTTTACTGATTGACCGTAATTCCCATTCGGCTTCAGCCAGTTATCAAATTTTTGAACTATAGTAGTTTCTAACTGCTCCTCTTGTCCAAGTAAACGATCTTTACTTCCGTTACCGTTTGCATTCCATAACTCTCTATGTGCACGTACCATGTCGTAAGACTGATTTACGTTAATACCGTTACTTTGTAGTTTACCATTTGCGATGGATTTTTGATTTCCTTGATGATCTTCATTGTGATTTGTTTGTCTATCTTTGAACTCGTCTCGCTGAGATTCCGGCACTGATGTTATATTACAAATTTGATGTTTTTTCAATAAAATGCGATCAATTCGATCCATGTAGGAAGGTCGAATGCATATATTATCAAGGTAGTAATGAGGTAATGAAATAATTTTTAGATGAACTGTTTGTGTAGAAAATAGTTGTATTGATTGTGTTAAATGCTGAATACATTTTCTGTCACTGACCAACCTGGAATTTTGTTGGATTTGTGATATTAATGCTGATGTGATATCTTTAGAAAGATAATTTGATAGCGAGAGCAAGATCGCTTCTTCGAACCATTTATACAAGGGGGTTGTAACTTTTGTTCCATGCTGATTCAATTGTAAAGCAAATTGGAAGTAATGACGGAAACCAGGCAAACGTTCTTGTGGCGAACATGGAGGATAATTTTCGCAGCCATTCCATAAGGTTTGTTGCAGATCAGCTTTTATAACTTTTTTCATAGTAATAGCTAATATATCAATTGCAACATAAATTCCAAAGGGATCTTGAAGAGTCAGCGGTTGTCGTTGTCGAAGCTGATCTAATTGGTATAGCAGTTGCATAAGTATGTCAAAATGTGGGCGGTATATTAAAGTATAGCATAGCTGATAAACATGATGTATAGGATTGAATGAGAATAGATTTGATGTGGTGTTTTTGTAATCGACTAGATCTGAACGTAAGAGCATTAGTTCATAAATTAAGCTAGAAGGTGGCGAATCGAGAGTATTGATCGTTTCCATCCATCTTTTATTGGATAATAAACATTCTATGAATTGAGTTAAGCGAGTTATCAATGCATTAGCTATATGGGCATCATATCTTCTGGATAAATAAGCATGAAAATCCAATGTTAAAAAGCGAATAGTATTAACTAGACGTTGTAGCCATAAGTATTCTTGGGGATGTAGATTTCGTTTTACTACAAAGACTATCAGCTGACGAAGTTCTGACCAAGAAAACGGACTTAAGGCTTTTAAGTATCTAAATGTGCGTTGAAGTTCTGAGATATCATGAATATCGGCGGCTATCTGCAATCGTTGTAAACAGTCCGAGAGACTGCTATATGCAGTATCCATACGAAGATTTACAGAACGAAAGTTAGCAAGGAGAGAATCTGTTCAAGAAACGAATACAGTTTTACTAATTAGAAAGTAGATCGATTATAATTATTCATCTAGAAGTTAGCCTAATAAACAGTTTGATGGAGTTATTCTATTTATCTGCAGTTATTTGTTACTTTTTATAACTAAGTTTACCAACTGTGCTATAAATTACTTTGTTACTTTTAAACTATCGTCATCGTTGCATTTTCTAGCTTCCATTACATGGGTAATGGGATTTTAAACCTGAAGCCTATCACATCATCATTTTATTATGTATTTCATTGCTTACAAATTAAGAATTCTCATGAATTAGCAATTACTGTCTGAAGCTGTTAAAATTCAGTGTAGCGTTTAACTCATTATTATATTGTGATTATTCTCTTGCGACAGTAATTGCCATTGCCTCTTACATAAATAAATCTAAAACCTTTTTAGGTCGTAACAGTTAACGATCGCTCTAATCAAATGGTTTGGTTGAGTTAGTTCTCTTCCTGCTAAATCTATGGAAGCTCTAAAATTAATTTTTCATTTCTAATATCAAATTGAATGACGTAATAATGTTACCATGGTATATCATCTTGATCTGACGTACGTATCACAGCTATACTAGCTAATTTTGGGGATGATAATTGCAACGATTATGCACGTAAGCGCCTAATAATCAAAATCATTTACTTAGCGGCTTATATTGAAATATTGGTACGTTTACTCTAGGTCATGTTGCGATAATTTTAATCAATCAATCAATTCTCACTTTCCTTTACAGTAGTCGTAAAAGGAGTAATAGTCGTTACGATGATATTACTAAAATGATTTTATTATTATAATTTTTTCTTGTCTCATATTGATAAGGCGACTAACATTATTTCCAGTGTGACTATGGAGATGAATGAGTTTTAGCCCCTAGGGTTACAATCCGTTGACGCCAAATTTGAGTTATTAAAATCATCTTAGCAGTTACGATCTATGATTCATTTTATCAACCGACTATTCTACGCCATTGAGTGCTTTACTTCATATTACTATGATACTTTCAAAATATATAACTACTGTAATTAGTTGAAACCACTACTGACTCTATTTGACCTGTTTATATTATACATTAGTTCATACTGAAATTAGCCGTAACACAAACAAGGAGTATAAAACAAAATGAAAGTTTTCGATAGTAAAATATTTCTATAAGTGACGAAGATTTACATTTGGAAAGCTCAATGTTAATTCAATGGTCAGTTGTTCCCTAAGCGCTTTGCATGCAAACCATGGCGAACGTATCGTGTCAAGATAATATCAATTCGTCCTATTCGTTATTGTCGATTGCTAACGAATCTATTGAATTTAAAGGGTACAAGTATGACTTTATTCTTTTCCCTTCAGAATAACTTGGACCAGATGATACCCTATAGAAGACTTTCTTATCCACTGAATACAGTAAGTCAATTTATTTATGCTAAACAGCATTAATTTAAGTTTGATTTTTCCTATTGAGTCTAGACAGTCTAAGTAGAAAAAATGAATTACACAAAGGCATAATGCACTGTAAGATTGTCTTGGACGAGAGAAAAATGCTAACCAACATTGAAGCTCTACTATGAATGTCTCCAACCGAGTCTATTTTATAGATATTGATAATTTACTGTAGTCAATCCGTTTGTTGAATACCTTATCGCCTTGGATTTGAATCCAATTGCAACCCAAAATTGTGCATTACCAATCGACACTAACCTTCAAATGGAAACTTGACCTAAATTTCACTGCAGTGCAAGTATTAATTCCATTGCTTTACATTCTTGGAGTGCGTCCGTAAGTGGCGTGAATTGTTATTTTTTTCCTTTTGAATTCTGGATATTGCCACTGGATTACTAATTACTAAATCATTTTATATAGCAGACCCTAGTGAATCTTTCAAAATTTCAATGAATAACTCGATAGAAATCATTCTAAATTGTCATTCTATCGTCGACTATCTTACCTAATTGAATATGAAATATTCAATTCAACTTCTTCAGTGAAATAAATTGAAAGGAAATTTTTTTTTCCTCTCCTGTGAAGCATTTGACAAAGAAGTTGATTCAATCAAAAATACTGTCTATTGATAGTCGAATGAGGCCTGGCGGTCACCTGCTTAGTCAATGGATCAATTCTGAAAGTATAAATTCAATGTTGGTCGAGAAGGCGGGAAAAATATCAAGTTGTTTATTGTACTCATTCTATATTGCGTCAATCTCCATGTGTGATTGCTACTTAACATTGACGGCAACTAATTGATATGAACGTCCTGTCGATTCAATTAGATTTGAAGACGATTGCTACTTAACGTTGACGGCAACTAATTGATATGAATGTCCTGTCGATTCAATTAGACTTGAAGACAATCTATTGAGAAATGCAGTTGCGCTATTGTTTAGTATTGGCTTCACGTGATCTTATTTTCAAGATTTCTTTTCCAACTATGCAATTCTTATTCTCTTTTACTTGTCTGGATAGGCCAAGTCCGAAGAATGAACAAAATCCTTTTATCGGATAGAATTTATTCTTATATGGCTACAGGTTATTCTAGCCAGAAGAATTGTTTCACTTTTTCATAGGAAATACTCAAAATTATTTGCCATTAGGGCTTAAACTGAGTTCGTGTTATATAATAATACAGTGCATACCTCAATGGCATCTGTAATCATCATGGTATATACAGTGATGGTCTTATAACCGAAGTAAAAGATTTGAAGTCGATCAAGATAATATCGTAATATGATTGACAATGTTTCAATTATATACGTTTCCTTGTTGTATTTGACGTATTTGTCGTAACATTGTTTTGTAATAGTAAGGGATATCCCATAGGCTATAACTTGTCTCGTATTATAATTTACAGAAATAGGAATGACACATTCCATTTGCTTTTTCTACACTTGTACTATCTACTGTATTAACCTTAAGATCACATATTACAAATATCCCACGTCCGCTAGGATACAGTATAATAGTTATGTGCTTATCAGATCTTGTTCAATCATTACAGTTCCTTCATGGTGCGTTGTTGTCGCATTCATGATAGTACACTATTCTGTCAAGACGAAATAAATTCATGTCGCTAAGAACGCCATACTATTATTATAATTATCAAATACTTTATTCAAGTGCTATACTATGTCTACATACTCCGTCCGCCATCTGACTTTTTATCAAACACCAAAAGTATCAAAGCATAACACAGTACATTTGGGAAATTTTTCATACATTCCGAAATTGCTTTTTTCGCACATTATAATTATCAAATGCTTTATTCAAGTGCTATACTATGTCTATATACTCCGTCCACCATCTGACTTTTCATCAAACACCAAAAGTATCAAAGCATACTACAGTACATTTGGGAAATTTTTCATACTTTCTGAAATTGCTTATTTCGCACATTATAACTTTAACATTAGCATTATTTAGTGATAGACATCTTTTGCTATTGCTAATTTTAACGAACAAAAGTTAGGGAGACTTAATTAGCGCTATTCTTTATTAGTTAAAACTAACTTAGCGCATCATCCATCATTTAGGACGGCACTCATAAAATCTATCAGATATTTTAGCACGGATGACGCGGTTAGCACAACACATTTTAGTAGCACAAACTTAGGAAATGCTATAAGACAATCAAAATATGGAATATAGGTGTCAATACTGTACTTCTTATAAAATCGAACTCATTGATAAAAAGCCTATTGTATTTTGATAGATACTTATAAAGCGTATTGCATAACTACGGTTACCTACTGTTTCTGTTTATGTCTAAGATACTATGTCCAATAATTATAGTGACGACTTAATAACTCGCACAGCATGGTGTGCACACTATGCTCACAATTTTCTATCATTGAGCTCAGATTACAATCGTTGAATAGTGACGAGTTGCAATCATGTATCGTAAATTGTAATTACTTTTAAAATTTTTAAAATAAGTTGTATACCAAGGTGGTCAGTATCCGAGTATCACGGTCAAGCTTTGGCCATGAAGATGTCTATGTATTATAATCCGTAGGCTTTATACTAAAGGCCTATACTTTTGCAATTTGTTAATGCTTATACTATCGAATTAATTTACTGCTTTTGGATAAGGTGAAGTGGAGTCGTGTTGAAATATTTTGGATGAATTGTCATTATGTGATTGGATAACTCATCTAAACTTGTTTAGGTTATCTTCATCTAGAGATTTCTATAAATGTGAAACTCGGTTCGGATGTTGGTGAGAATATTTGTGCTCGCTTAGAAATAAACTTAGTTACCGTTATTTAACACAGCTATTGACTGCTTTTGTGTGATACTCAGGATACTGGTCATAGAGACAACTTGGTACAAAGTTATCGGAGGTTTGCAAAGGCTCAGAGATTTAGTTGACTACTTTAGTGCTTAGCTCAAATCAGTAGGACGATTGAGAAGTTTATTGGTGATCGATCTTATAGTATTCGCTTGTATTGCAATCGTAGCTGTCATACCGGGATAATAATATATTGCAATAACAAGAAAACTGTTGCATAAATTACTGGGTAAATTCGTCGTTGATGCTTAGGTTTTATAAGTAACCGCTGTCTGCCAGGTGCCGTATCATATTTAATCAACTGTAAATATTTTGTAAGTTTACGTAAAATCTATCATAGTGGTCGCTAAGAGTAAGCGTTGTTAGACTGATCATTGTCGGTAGATCACTGGGATGTATAAAGATAACTCTTTAGATAAAAAAATGATTGCTTCTTCTAGCAATCATATTGGCTTGCCTCCATAGTACCATCAACATTATTCAATTTTCTTTAGACATAAATAAACAACACTAACTTAATACGTTGATCCTGCCATCATGGAGAATCTTTCCAGTTGAAAGTTGATCTGTTGCATTTACTCTTCTTGAAGCTCTACGGAGTTAGATTCTATTTCAAATTCTTGAAGAAACATGACGGGTTACAGTAGCTACGACCTTCTCTTTAGTTCGTAAAGGCGTTTTTTTTAATACACACATAGCTTTCATGAAGACTTTGTTTAGCGTATAACATTATATCTATAGATTCTCAATCGAGTAGATATCTTTGCCTTTTTTTAATATCACTATCCGCATAACCTATAAAGTGAAGCAAGAGTTATAAAAATGTACCTTTCCAGCCTTAAAACTGCTAGATATATTGGAAATTAAAACTCTCAGATTTCCCTACCTGAGTTACAAAGTGTACACGTGATCTCTAAAGGAGATAGAACTTCCTACAATGAAACAGAATTAAGAGTTAGATTTTTCATCCAGGAAATTTGACACGATTAATAGTAATTATAATCTCACATTTAGCTGAAATGCAGATTTGTCTCTAATCACCATTAGCTATACCGTATAGTGGCTGGAGATTAATAGTTATATACTAAGTCAGTATGAAAATCATAGTTTTGATACTATTGGGCTTTGAATCGTACGGCGCAACTGCTGGAGATTTAATATACGCATAATTAGTGAAGGAAGCAGTACGGCAAACTGACACGAAGAAAAATGATTCATGATAACATTTACTGCTCGTTAGAAGCACTGATAGTTCTGTTGTACTGTATATCATAGTATATGGATGAAAGATTTTTAGCTTGCTAATTTTCCTTAATAAACCATTGAAAGTTATGGTCATACTCCAATGGAATTAATAGATTACCTTAAGTGGAAATTGCTGTCTCAGATTTTAATATACAATTACAGTATATCGCGATAATCTGGTTAATGCATTGATTACTAGTACAAACTCCCGTCGCTTTGCTGACGGTTTACGGTAATGTGCTCATTTAACAGATAGTATTACCATTTGATAGACCTGTCAGAGGTTCAGTAACTTTATACCGTGTACTCTGCGTCCAAAGAGTGCCAAACGTTATTAATGTATAATCATTACTTTTAACTCGCGAATCTTACAAATATGTCCGTACCTCAGCTCAAATCTATAATCGCTTTATTGAATGAGCACCACGTCCATAGATTGTTACTGCATATTTAAACAGTTGCAATTAATAGGAAAAGGATAATATGCGCAAAATTTCTTAATTGTGAATGATATAAATCAACCCTTACCCGCTTAATAGCATACGTAATAAACATACTTGCTACATTTCATTCCGCAGCATGTAACTATATTTGGAACGACTCCAAGAAATTTTAAGTTATAATACTTTAACAGCTTCCATTAATTGAAGAAATTTACTCTTCTAGAATTTAGTGGCAGATAGCAAAAAGTAAAATGCTCGTTTGGTCTAAAGCATTTGCAAAGATGAGCCTACTTAAATAAGGCAATAACTTTAAAGTACGATCTCGAAAAATTCATTTGATTATTACAACAGGCTCTATGTTAGATTCTACATACAGTATGTCTTTAAGGTTACCGCTCTAATCGCTACACATGGTACTGTAGTTAGCCTATGCAAATCCTTTACTATCTATCATGCCATGAATGGGTTTCGAAGCAGTATAACTGCTATGTCACATATTTAGACTTTTATTATAAATATAGTAATAACTCTAAAATGTAAAGGAAGATTATCCAACATTTGATGAAAAAATATCGATATTCGTACTTTATTTTGTCGATCAAAGTGCCCAACTGTAGCTCCTATCTATAAATGACCTCTCTAATTAATTTACAATCCTCGAATTTTTCAAGACTATGACTCACTCTCTGTGGCAAATCACAATGATATTAGCGAATATATTTTTACCTCGTCACAAATAGCGCCCTGAATTATTCTTAATGGTATTGTTTGTCAACGTGGTTGGTGAAGATAATTTTGAATGTTTATTAAACTTATATATGTCAATATTTGCTTTCCCCATCATGGAGTTTCTTAATCCAAATTATAAAGTAATTACTGTTGATTTAATATCTACTAATAAACCCAGCTTGAAGTAAGCGGTAATATGACTCCTGCAATGTCTGTTGATAGAGTATAGATGACATTCTAAGAACTAAATTGTTCTTATTTAAGAACTATTGAAAAGCTCAATCGCGATCTAGTTATTGTTTTTTAAATCATATAATTTTGTTTACGTGCTACACGACCATCGTGATAATTATTATGGCTTATATGTCTTTGTATAATATCGTGAAGTACTGCATAAATCTTGAAGCTGATTACAATTTAGTGACATCTTTGTAAATGAATGTACTTAAATAAATAATTGATGCATATTTTTAACGGTATATGCGGTTACACACACCTGCTTAGCGTAGAAAATCTCCTACATGAAAGCGTATAAATTTATACGATTGACAGTAAATTTAGAATGATGGTAACCTGTAAATCACAAATCTAAATTTAGTAAGATTAATAAATTGATTGATAATGAAGTACTGTTCATACTCATAATAAGTGTATCTAGGAGAATGAGCCCTTAGTAAAAATATAGAGTTCGTTTTCGGCGTCAGTTACGTGTTTACATTGAAACTTTTCGAGAACTATTTACGTAAGATGAGTACCGTGTACGTACTCTTCGTAAATTTTTAAGATATGGCTATTTTTGACGATGAGATGCTATTGGATTGTGAGACATAGTAAAATAGTACTAGCAATTAGTTGTTAGCAGCTAATTGGCATGCAATGATAACCTTATTCGAATTTATTTCAAGTTTGGTTTAGAGTTGATTGAAAAATTTACAGTAGTACCTTTTTGGCACTATACATAGAAACTGCATTGAGAATGCATTTAATGCTTATTGCAGCATTCCATAGTAACTAACAGGAGCTCTGATAATTCTATGATATCGATAGTTAAGTAGAGAAGAAGATAGCTGACGTACGATGGGGGTAGATAGCACGTTTTGTGAGTTCTATCGGAATTTATAAAGACCATTCGCTGTAATTCAATGCCAATCAATTAACGTTATCATTGAAAAGTTTGAAACTTAGCCTTTGCAAAATAGTTTGCCATTGGCTCAGTATTAGTAGCTATTTATTTACTATTAATTATTGCTCAGTAGGGCTGGCCCAGATAGATAACAATTGCGTTCTATATTAAAGTCATTCATTAATTAATACCATGCTACTACTTCATGAAATAGGAATAAATGCCAATGTTATAGTTACAGAATGACGAAGGAGTACAGTAGGTCAGTGCAAGTCTTAAACGATGAAATTTAGAACACACGCTGTACTGTACGGTTTTGCACAGTACTGTACACTGTACACTGTACTGTACAGTACTCGACTGCAGTACCGTAGATGTATTAGTACTGTACTGTACACGTACAGTACTGTACTGTAGTGTACTGTACTGTAGTCAAAAAATGTACAGTACAAAGGCTGTTCCAGTATGAATCACAGAACAGTGATAAAACAAATAAACCGCGTAGTCGCTGTGTACAGTATAGTACTGTCCTGTACTGTACTGTACACTGTACAGTACATACTGTACAGTACAGTACTAAGACTAAGACAGAGTGCAGCTACAGGACAGTACTGTGTAGTGTACTGTACGTACTGTAAATCCCCCTTTAGAAATGCTCTTGCGTGCAAGATAGCGTCCTGAACCGTGAGTGGTATATGACTCCGGCCCCTTACTGTTACCGCGTATAATTTTGTTAAAGGCCATTACAGTTAAGCCTCCAGATTGATAACTAGCGGCTGATGTACTAAACTCTTAATTAGTTATAATTTATATGGCGAGATAACTGTAGTAAATAGACTTCATTTAATTGCCATCATTTGTCAACGATATCGATAAAGAATAATTGAAGTTAAGTCATTTATTATTATTTTTACCCGAAAACGCGATAACAAGAAAAGAAGAATATAACGGTAATCATTAACGAGCTTCCGATTTCGTTTATAAATAATTGGACGACGTTTTTATACTTCTACTGTTGTTTTTGAAACTTTATTTTTATGTTTTTGATTTTCATCAATAACACTATTTTGGGTTGCTGTTGTTTAGAGTGGCTAATTTAAGTGCACTTAGTATAAGCCGACGTTATCATTGCAATATCGATCGAACTATTATCTCAATTATTGTATCGGATAAAATACATTCGAAAGTTCACTCAAGTTACGCTTAGTTGAAAGACTGGTCCTTCCTTCATCTCATACAGTACGTATAGTAATAAGCTGTACGATACGGGTGCGGCAGTAAGCCTTCTTTTACTCATTTCTCACCTGCTGCCGGAGGCCACTAGTTGTGTAACCCGTTGCAGTTCTTGTCAAATCACATTGGCATTAGCTAACCTGAGATGCCATCCTGCATTTAATTCAAAACTCACCTTTCCTTATTAATACAGAAGACAAGCAGTAAAACTTTAAAATTAAAGCCGAACTAACTTTTTTTATGTGTGTGCAAGATCATACAGTGTTCACTATGGGATCTACTGTACTGAAGAGCGAACCCCTTTTTTTTGCTGCACCGTATTTAATTAATTAAGGTGTCCTCGAATGATAATCGATTTTAAGAATGTTGGCCATATCGATTTCACAAGTTGTTACTATACTTACAAATAGACAATATTTTATTTAATTTCAAAAGTCTTATCTTTCTTCTCTTTTTTTGAATTCATTTTATCTGTTGTACGTACACATTTATAGTCCACTATCTTGTCATTCTTCTTAAGCATCATTACAAAAAATTGTTAGTAACAACCGAGTGTCAACCTTTTGTTTCTCTTAGTTTTGGGCTAACTTGCCTCATTTTTTATTCAATTTTATAATTTCAGTTGTTGATAACGATTGAAAAGGTTTGAAAGGCAACAATTACCTTGATCCATTACCTCAATCAACTAATCAACGTATACAGTAATTGTATAATCGGAACGGCCACAACGATTCTGATAGCCATTTCTTACAAGTTGTCGACTGTAACTGAAAAATTGACTGCAACCTGGTATCCCCCAGGTGATCAAGAATAGAGAAACAGAATTAACTGGGTCCTCATAAATCAACATGTCAAGTCAAGATGGTGAAGATGTTGTTGAAGTCCATGTTATCCGTCAGGATGAAAACTGGGGTGTTGGTCCAAGTGGTCGCGCTACTTCAATAGCTACATCGGATAGATCAGCAGGTATGGGCAATGTAACTTTTCGCCGAGATCATGATGACGATGACGATGAAAACCCTGCACCTTGGAATTCATTGCTTTCAATTGGGGTTCCTATTGCCGTGGGTACTTTAGCTTTATTGACGCCTCTTATTTTCATTTTACTCCCTTTCATGATGGGAACAACATGGCAACTTTCGAATTGTGGTAATTATTGTAACGGCTCATATTTAACTCTAGCTATCAAAGAGATTATCCTTCTAATTGGCATATGGGCGTTGTATAGTAGACACCATTCTCATTATACATTACCACGTCTAATAAGCTACAAGCTATTTGTATTATCGTTAGTTTTGATGGTGACCATCTGTTATTGGATTTACTATGTTGTCGCTGTCATTATACCCAAGTCTTCCGATTATGCATCTATTGTCGATCTCGCCGTCTCTTTAGTTGATATCTTTCTTTTCCTTCATTATATTTCGTTAATATTGTTGGAAATTCGTCAGCAACGGAATCATACACAATTCATACTTAAGGTTGTTCGCGATCCTGACGGTCAGCAACAATATTATCATCTCCACCGTACCAGCATTCAATTAGCAGCGTTGACTATATTGCAATATTATTATCGTGATTTTACTGCATATAATTCGGCTATGGAGAAAATGCTTGAACGCTATGTTGGCCGTAGTCAAACAGCATTAACATTATATGATATTGACGGCCGTTCCGGAGACGTCGAAGCGATGAGTACCCGCTCGCGTTCAGTTATTACGGCTTCGACCAAACGAGGTGCAGGTAGTGCTATTAACGGTAATCGCAATGATAGGTATCACAATGAAACTGAATTTTATAAAAGAATTGATAAAAGACGAGCTCGACTAATTGCTGCAGCTGAAGAAGCCTTTGAACATATTAATCGTTTACGCCAAGATGAGCAAGACAGGAGTGGACCACCAATGAACCCAGATGATGTTGCTCATGCAATATTTCCGTGTATGGCGCGTCAATTACAAAAATATTTAAGAGCCACTAAGCAACAAACATGGTATAAAATCGACTCTATCTTGAGGCATCTATCACATTGTGTAGCTTTAGGTGCAACTTCAAAAACTTTTTTGCAGCGCTATTTAACAACTCGACACTGTGCGATCCCATTAGAAGATGATGATCGTAATAAACCACATCATTGGTCTTTAGAGTCGGAATTACCTGCACATAAATCACTCCATGAAGGAGCTTGGTTCGTCTTGAAACGAAATGAGGTCTCATTAATTGTTAGTGTAGTTAGATTGCCTCAATATAATATAACTGAACATACACTTGATCATACTGGTAGAAGAATTCGTTTGAATCCTAATCCTGAAACATCAGTTTAGTTACTTAGTGCCTACTATTTGAGCCTTACTAGTATGGTAGAGAGGATTTTCTTTCTTAAGGCTTTCAATAAGCTCAGTTACTACTGTAATGATATCTTAAAAACGAAAGAGAAGCTGTACTCTACAGCTCTCAAGGTAGCATGGCATTATAAAAATGATGCGGAAAACAATTATTCTCAACAATGTAATCGTTTTTATTATTTTGACACTCTTTGACATTGTATCTTTCATCCTCTTTGGTTACTTCTATACGAAGACTGTCTAGGAGTGTTATCTGTTACATTATTCCATTGAATGTGAAATTTTTTAACTTGTATTGATAAACACTATAGTTTCAGTTTTGCCATTCATATGTATACTGTCATATACAATCCTTGGGTATTAACGCTGACCTTTAATGCCGTTTTTAGTTCTAGGGGGGTACGCTGTGCTATGCATCATAATTAATTTTTATTTGTTTAAATTCATATTTTACTTTTGTTTGGCTCTTTACCATGTCTAGACTTTAAAATCCAGGTTATTATTGCTTAATCAAAGTTATCTATGTAATCCATTGATGAATAGCCTTACTGATGGAATAGTTAAATAGCTTAGACTGTGCTTTCGTTTGAAACCTTAATTTTAATTGCAGCCGGTTTGATTGTATTAATGATGATTATTTTCGGATTTGATTCATCATCATTAAATGATGGCCATTTTAGATCAAAGAACAATTAAGATTGTGATAATCGTCATATTCAATATAGCAATTACTTGACATTTGTATTTTCTTAGTTATTACTGTTTGGTTAATTATTTTTATTGATTGCTGTTCATTCCGCGTTTTACTTATTAGAATTTACAGTACCTTTATGATGATATATTACAGAATGTCAGAAACTATATGCTGTACTAGCTGTGGTTATCGAGGAAAACTGTTAGACATATAGTACTGTACTACGATGTAATTTTAGAGGGAATATGTGAAGGATATGTATTCAGTGAAAATATTTCTTAAAATAATTAAGATTTATAAGGGAAATGACGGACTGGTTACCCAATTTTATCACAGTAACTGTTGATGATATCTTGTAACGTGATTTAACTAGTTTTTTTAATGTTGTTATGTATTGTACTGTAATCATGATCATTGTGCAACGATGGTATCATTTTGTAATATAGATGCATGTACATCAAATTTCTATTGGTAGAATATTTGCTGCTATTTGCTTTATGTTTACTACTTTTCTTGCCAAGCTGAGCGTTTTATAAACAAATCTAGAAAGATTTAACTACGATCCGACTTGATGAAGTAGCATCATGACGGCAACCGTTATCTACCTATCGAAAATCATCGTATTCATTAATGTTATCAATTTCTATTTCTTGTCGGGCATCACATACTGTATGAACGTTATAACACATTAAATGTGTCTTCCTTACGATGTATATCTCTTGTCCATGATAAGCTTTAGTTCAATATAGATTTTAATACTAACTTGATGATACAATAAAGGGATTCTTTGTGCTATCAGGTAAAATATTGAATGGATAGGAAAAACAATCGATTTTAAATCAATTTATACTATTGCTTAATTGTCTTTACGATATTGTCCAATGACACATTGCAGATTACGAGGTAAAAGTTCAAATAAAATGTATTATTATTGAAGGAAGTAGTCAAAGTCTTAGTATCAATGCTACCCTAGCTATGAGATTGATCCAACTTACAGTAGGATTCGATCTTGATTTTTACATTAGGCAAATTATTGAATATTATAATCTCTAATAACTATAAATTGTAGAGGTAGATCATAGCAGCTAACCGGGAAATAAAAAGTCATTTTTTAAACTAGAACCAAAGTAGATTAAATGGTTTACTGTATTACGATTAATGAATACCCGGAATATCGATTAATTTCTTGTCAAATAAACGTTAGTTACTTTTATGCACCGTCCATTTGACCACTGGAGTTTAGTAATTTACTTCGTTGCAATGTACCGCATTAGCGACTTCGAGTAGCGTACTGTACAACTCGATGTACTGTACAGTACTGTACTGTGTCACAGTCATCTGTGACAGTACCCTGGATTGTCCCTGACGGATCCATAGAGGTTTTTACCTCTACGGACGGACTATGGCACGACATAGGCGCCTATGCGCAGAGCCTTCCGATAGCATGATGATAATGATGTGAGATCACTTGATCACCTGCACATTTTGTCCATTGTTATAGTACTGTGCACTGTGCAGGGTTCACTGTACACTGTACAGTATCATGGACGGCTGTACCGTACTGTACTGTACTGTACAGTACTGTCATCCATGAATGTACTGTACAGTACTAATGAAAAGGCTTCCAATCTCACTCACGTGACGAACACTCTCATGTGGTACTAGCAAATACTGTACTGTCTGTCTGTCAGTACTGTACTGTAGTGGACAGTCTGGACTGGTGTACTAAAAGGAAAGTAGTCCGTAATACAGTAGCAGTCCAGCATCGACCTGGTACACACTGGTGTTAGACCTTGGAAACTGACAGACAGATAGGTACAGTCATACAAGACGTACGACGTCATTTGCATTATGGCTGAAGTTGTTCTCGCCGAATCCAATGGCACTGATCAATTGCCTAATGGTGGCCAAAACGAAGCAGTGGTCAAGACAGACAAGTCACTGCTGACGGAAGACTTGTTGGTAGGCAATACGATCTAAACGATATTAGAAAGAATTCCAATAAGTGGTCAGCAGATGCGGATTTAGGAGTAAGTTTGGAACAATTTTATTACTGTCTCTGTATTCTGCACTAGTTAAATTTGGCTGCTGTTATTCAGAATTTTCATGCAATTTGTATTCAATCTTTTTTGCACTTTCACTGCTCTTATTGAAGATATTCAGTATTCGACATACAGTTATTCTACTTTGATATATCGACTGTTAGTGCGAATAACGCACTGTAAAGCGACAACTACTGCAAAAATATTTTGGGGGATATTTTTTCAAATGTTTCTTACAGTACATCCAGTACTGTAAAAAATGCAAATTCTATTTGACTGCGTTGATGTAGATATTCTCGTATACGTACTTTGATACGTATATACTGATATCTACCATTGCGAAGTGAGCAGCAACAATTATCCTTGTCTCTATTCGATAAAATGGTTGAGATTTTCACTGCTCGATTCGTATGTGACTTATCCTCAAGATCAAAGTAGTTTCCCTACCATAGTAGAAGTTGCACATTCTTGACCAGCTCTTGTACCTACTGTAACATATGATGTGTAGCAGTGTACGGTACGGACTACGACCGCCTCCATCTCTCTCTGATACCAGCAGTATCGTACTGTACTGCTGGTACCAGGGACTTCCCAACTGTCCAGTATGGCTCTTACGGAAGGCATGACCGAGAAAAAGATATACGAAAACCTCCAACTTTACGATGATGTCATAGTGTTCCTACCCAAATGTTAGTTTTGAAAAGTGAAATGCACGCAATACATTCATAGTTTATCCTTTTATTCCATGATGATCATATCTAATGTGGTAGATAACTTGGTATCGAGTCTCCCATTACCTTTGTGTTATTTCACATTTGATGGAGATTAAAACGTCAAGAGATGGGTATTCGTACATTGACGGCGTTCTGGTAACGGGCAGTAATACTAAAAAAAAAATAACAATAATAACAATCTCGGCGATCTTAATTGCGACAGTTCAAAGTTTGTATTAACTTAATATTGTCAGAGTTGCATATCTATATTGATTCAGATAATATTATTATTATATTATTATTGGTTTAGTTAGTATGGATAGAGACAGAAGATATTAACATTTTACTCAAAAATAAATTCTTCATTTCTAGTAAAGCTTGTCCAGTTACTACATCAGCTCTAGTATCATAGACCAATGCCCCCAATACCATGTACAGTAGAGACCCTTGCTTTCTCGAAGGGTCTCTAAAATGGACAGTAGTAACAGTACCGATGTACGCCTACTTTTTGATATAGATTAAGAAAATTCTTGCGGATTGGATATTGATGAATTGAAAATTAGGATACAGCATAGCTACTGAATGATCAACTAAAACGTTGTGATTTAAGAGATGATACATTGTGATATGATACTTTCTATTAATGTTAATATTAGCATCAACAACTGCCTTACAACAGCAGTTTGTAGCATGTTTTCATATCAAATGTTATCATATACAGTAAGTGATGATAAGTTGTGATATTATATTTTCTATTAATGCTAATATTAATATAGATAGCTGGCTTGCAACAGCATTTTATAACACGTTTTCATATCTAATCTATGCTGCTAAGATGCCGTACATGAGCGATAGATTGTAATATTTACTTTAAGCTGTCCAATTAGTAAAATATACATTTGCATATGGGAAGTGAAAGATGCTTTGTGGGTATCATTGTAGAAATGTCATTTTTGCTTATGTTCCTATTGCATCTACATGTTGCAACAATCTGTAGAATCAGTATCAGATGTATATATTTAGCTGTTGATATTCTAATACTTGGTAACAATTTAAAAGATGTAAAGTGCAATTTAGATACGTACGCCTATGCGAAGTAAGATACCTTATACTGCTCAGGGTTTATTCTACCATAAATTATGACAATATGATAGCGTTCAATAGCCAATACAAGCCTCGTCTTCCATAAATTAATTGAAAGCAGTTCTCAAAAGTATGTAGAGATTTCATCTAGAAATTATGCTAGATATTTGGCATAGGAAGAATGATAAAGCTAAACTTGAATATGTTGAGTATCAACGAGCACGTGCTGCTTTATATACCTGTTTGCTCCGCTATGCTGTAGGAACAATTTTAATTTACCTCTTGCTAATCTTGAAAGAAATGTATGAGCATGTGATGATTAAGTAGATGAGAATCAAATTATTACGATATGGGTTGCAAATTAGCTTGCACTATATTATATCACTAATGTACAATAAAAATGAATAATGTTATTTGGACTTAAACATCGAATAAGCTCATTTGCATTTATTTATTACTCTATATCGTATATAGTTATTGAATTATTTAAGAGAAGTTTCCCAACGCCTAGTATCACGTACGCATCAAGTTGAAAATTTAGTGAAAGATGTCATTCAAAATGTCAAGGTAAGAAATGGACAACACTATCATTTAAGAATAACGTGAGTATAACCAGCTTCGCAATGTCTAATGGTAAAGCCTCATTTATTCTTATGTAGTTGTGCTAACGGTCATTAATTTATAAAACTAGCGGTATTAGCAATATATTTCTAAAAATCAAGAGTACGCTATGAAGCAAATAGTATTTTATACGTGGTAATATAGTTGCAGTCATCAAGTTTCAGCCTGCACAAGATCGTCAATTCATAATTCCTTAGCCGCATAAACAACTGTAACAAATCGCTTGACAGTATTCTGAAAACTTTCCGGATGTCATTATAACTTCGATTAGTTTTCTTGAATTACGTTAAAGATAGTCCACCTATAAATACAGTGACTAGGTAACGAATATAATAAGTTTCGAGATTTGATTTATATTTTCTAGATTAGTAAATTATGAGTAAATCTGCCTTACTTTTAGGCCGATGATTAATTGGATAATTGAATAATAATTCATTTACTGTCAGTATGCAGATGTTAACTTTAAGCATTGCAGCATACCGCGTCTATCAATTGATTAATATACTGATTGCACTGGATTGCAGTACTATCACATATTATATAATACTATGACCTATATTTTAAATAGCCTGTTAAGCATTTGCCATCATTGACCGTTTGCTAGAACAGAAGTTAATGCCATATTAATGCTAAACTATTTTGATATAACTAAATCAGCTTGTTTAATCATTTCTATATTTGACGGCATTAATAATCATTTAGTTTATAGAGGCCGTAAGATACTTAGATATGAAGGAATTAACTTTGTATGAACTATATATAGGCATGCAGTAGATGTTATTACCTTGTTATGAAATAGAATCTTTTAGCGGTGCAGTACATTAAAGTATTTCTCCATTTTTATGTAAATGTCTAATTTGACGGCGTTTACAGGGTGTTGACTGCCAAGTTAACAACGTTATGAACGAATTTCTAATGCTTTCGAATGATCACTTCATTGAAAACGTAAGTAATAAATATTTTAATAGTTACTATCAGATTTGTAAATTGATGTATGAAATTAAATCGATATATATATATATACAGTAGTGACAATAGACTGATATTCTAATATTAGCTATCGTTTAATTTGCGTGCAATCTTAGCGTGTTTACGATGACGAATTGAGACCTCATGAAGTTGACCCCAAACAAGCTAATGAGGCTAATCAAGAGGTAAATGGAGTGAAATAATAAATTATTTGCGTATATTATAACATCAGTACACTTGCAGGAATGCAATAATTGGGCCTACGGTTGTGAATATTGTATTTCAGCTGCAGCTAGACTCAATAAAAATGCGACTGTACACAGTACGTTAATTTTGCTCTACTGCAGTATATTGGCCATTGACTTTTATAGTAAACTTAAATATTATCAATTTTAATTTATAAGCATTTCTTCGGGTACAATATTAAACCATGGATTACAAAATTGCTCTGGTAATTTAGTAATCCATGGTTAAACGCTGCAAATGTTTAGAATGTAAGATAATATATTTGGAAGTCTAATGCACGAATTATTAAAATATCTTAATTTTTTTACTAAATGACGATCAGTAAACCTTGTTTCGATCAATTGCAACGACTGATGAAGTGCCGTTGATGAATTTGTCCAGATTATAGTGACTGTATCATACCTACTTGTATCAATTATGAGCTGTTAAGCTAAGCTGTTCACTGCTATAACATTATTTAATAATCCTGGTGACTAGTTTGTATTATCTGATGCGTAGGATAAAAATCGTGAAGTGGATGCTATACCTTGCATTAAAGAAGCCTTGAAAGATGGCTTAACGTTGTTAAATGAAGCGTATGATTTAGTTGAAACTACTGTAGACAATACGATCAGTGATTCTGACTCTGATGGTGAAGCAGACAGGAGTTTACCGGCTGGCTTTAATGAACCGGTATTGGAGCCAAAAGATAAATATGTTGATAGACCGTTACCTGTTATTATTGGTACGGCGGAATTTTTGCAGCGTGATGATGTCGGCTTATTAGATGAGGAAGACCAAGCTGAGGAGGAAGCAACTGATGTCGGTAGTATGAGTTCATCATCTAGCGGTGAATCAGAGAACGAGGAATCTGACAAGGAAGCAGAGGAAAATAGCGAAATTGATGAGAGTGATGACGATCGCCCTAGGCAAAGGCAACCACAACGGCGCACTTTTACTAGTTCAGAGGAGGATGACGAAGATGATTTATTTGCAGCCCCTAAGAAAGTTACTAAACGTAGCGATGTGGAATCTGATGAAAGTGAAGATATGCCTGAAACTGATCAAGTACAAGAGACTAAGCCTAATACAGGCATTGCAGCGGAACTAAATAAAAGATTGCAACGTAACACTGTAGATTCTGACAGTGATGGCACTGAAGCTGTCAGTGAGGCCGTTGCTAGTGATACATCGTCCATCAAGATAAGTCGTAAAACTAGTAAAACGAGTTCACAAAAAGTTGTTGATGATGATTTATTTCAAACAAACGACGATGAGGATGGTCCATTTGGAAGTAAAGGAGGCTTATTCAATGCTAGAAAAAGCGGACTTTTTGATGACGATGGAGGTTTATTTGATGATGATACTAAACAAGACGTTAAGCAGGATATTGAGCAGGATACTGTGCAAAAGGTAAAGGAAAAGCGAAATAGGACAAAGTCTGGTCGAAAGATTCCTGCTGGTGCTGTAGCTGTTTTTGGATCTGAAGACTCTGGATTATTTGGAACGCCTACGGAGGAATCCATTGCAAAAGAAAAACCGAATGATGATGATATTAAAAATACACCTACGAAAGAAGCGTCTAAGCCAAATATCAAAACGCAAAAGAGCGTTAGCAAAGGATTATTTGATGACGATGAAGATGAGGATGAATTATTTGGTGCAGCTCCAGTTTCCATCAAAAAGCCACAGCCTACCAAGAAGATGCCGCCCACTAGTAGCTTATTTGCCGACGATGATGATGATGACGCCGCCGCTGATGACTTATTTGCGACGGCAGCCGCTACTACTCAGCCTACTAGAACAGCGAATGATAGAAAGAAAAATTCGTCAAAAAAGAAGGCCTTGGTTGGTGGCGTAGCTTTACCTAGCGCTTCGAGTATCAAAAGTAAAGTTCACAGACCGCCTTCATCAGGAAACGAAAGTGAAGAAGATAATCCATTACAAGCTAACAATTTGCCAAAAACCAATACCACTAATTCTTCAAATGATACTGTTGGTATTGATGTAGCTGCTGCTGCTACGGTTGCTGCTGTCGATAGTAACAATCAAAGTAAAGTAACAAAGAAATCAGGTCTTTTTGATAGTGACACTGATGATAATAACCTATTCTTAGCGGATACTGACTCTAAAACATCAGGTAACACTTCTAAGAGTGAAGAAAAAACAGCTAAAAAGAAACCAGTTGGAGGTGTGGCTTTGTTTGGTGCATCTGCTATTAAATCAAGGCGACCTCCCGATTCTGAAGAGGATGACGATGAGGAAGATGACTTCAGCCAAAAAGGCAATCCACCTCCTCTCAAGATCTCGCAACCATCGAAAGCGAAATCTAATTTAGGTGACCTTTTTGACGAAGATGACGATGATGACTATGGATTATTTAATTCCAGTACCAAACCTTCTATTGTAGAATCACCGGCTAAAAATGCCGGAAATGATGTAAAGTTAACAAATGCAAATCAATCAAAAAGTTCTACTGATAGTAAGAAATCAAGAACTGCCCACAAAGGCGCTAGCTTATTTGACGATGAAGAAGATGATGGACTATTTTCTACTACTACTCCAAAACCGCAACCAACAACCAATAAGCCAGTTCATAAAGTTGCAGCTAATCCTGGCCTATTTGACGATAATGAAACTGAGGATGATTTATTTTTAATCACAAGCTCTGTTGAAAAGAAATCCGATAAGAGTAAGATTGCTAAAAAAGTTACAAATGAATCTAGTTCTGCCAGTCTATCGAAAAGTGAAGACAAAGTATCACCTAGTAATGAAAGGAGCAAAGCATCAAAGGACGATAATGCTGAATCGTCAACAGCGTCCCCAATTAAGCCGAAAAAACTTCCAGCTGGTGCTAAGCCTATATTTGGTGCAGCTGGAATTGATATTTTCCAAAAGAAAAAAACTTCAGATGACAAAGGCGATAGTAATGAACAGAAGTTGCAGAAGAGCAATGTTGCTAGCCCTACCTTAGATGAGAAGAATGTATCAGAATCTGTCGTAGTATCTCTTGACAATCCACCCACTGTAAAAACACTAGAGAGTGTAAATAAAGGTCGAACGAAAGGTCAAGCCAGAAGGCGTCCTCCTAGTAGACGTGGAGTTTCCAGTAAAAGCAGTAGTTCGAGTCTGTCAACCCCTATATCGGAGAAACTGAATGATGACGTTTTTGATGCAAGTAATACGGTAGCTGTTAAGCAAGCGGGTGACTCTAGCACTGGTGACAGTATCTCAGTTGAAGCTAAACCTTCTACTAGTCAGAAAACAGCGTCAGAGAATAAATCCAGCAGCATTTTTAATAGTAGCGATTGGCAAGACGATGACGAAGACGATTTATTTGCAAGTCCTGCTAAAATTAATAAGTCGGTGAAGTCCACAGTCGAAGTAGTGACTGCAGAAAGTGCAGTTTCCAATTCATCTTTAAATAAAAATCAAAAGATCACTCCTAGTAGTACTAAGAAATCGCAACTATTTGGAGATTCTACAGATGATGAGGAGAATTTAGGTTTGTTCACGCCCGCTAAAGCCCTAGACGGTAGTTCGAAATCATCCGCCTCCACTAGCATCCCTGACAGCAGTTTACATTCAGCTTCTTTAAGCAAAAATATAGCTACGACAGATAGTCCAGCTAGCGCTCAAACTAAAAAAGGAAGGTCTGATTCGGGAATTCGACAAACACGAGTAAGCTCCCTTTTTGACAATGATGATAATGATAACGACGATATTTTTGGTGGATTTGATAAAAAGAAGAGCTTGAAAGGGAAGGTAGCTGCTAAAGATACCGTTTCGCAAGAACCACCGAAAAAAGATATTACGGCATCTGCTGAGCCAAAGAAAACTGATAGTGAAATTGTTGATAATCCATTGTTAGCATCAGATAATGTAGTTCCAGATCGTGTTAATTCGTCCTCTGCTTCAGACTTACTGAATGATAGCAATGGTAGAAATTCAGGCGAAAAAATTAGTAAAGATATCGAGAAAGTAGCAGAGGAAAGCATTCCACCTGTCCAAGAAAAAGCAATGAAAAAATCGATCACAGCTGATAATCAAACTTCAACTGAAGAATCTTTGGAGAAGCAAGATAAAATCTCAGCTGATAAACCAAAAGATAGCTTGCCTTCTAAGGTTTCTGAATCGTCGACTGCTACTTCTAATTCTGATATAAAAAATGTCTCGATGTCTGCAAAGGAAGGGCTAGAAGTAAAATCGAAAGCAGTCAAACAAACTTCACAACCAAGTTCTATTTTTGACCACGATGATGATATTTTTGGAGATTTTAAAAGAAACAAGGCCTCCAAAACGAAGGAAGTGACTAAAACTAGTAAGAAAAACGAAAGAGATGTGGCAAATAGTCCTGGCGAACCCAATACGGCTGAAAATGCTCCTGACGAAGTTAGATCAATAGATGCTATTGATAAACAACAGTTCGTAGTAGATTCAAATCCTGTAGTCGCCAGTTCAGCAGATGAAGTTCATACACAATCGGCAGCCAAAACCACGTCAAAGCTTGAAACCCCAAGCTCTATTTTTGATGATGATAGCGATATATTTGGAGATTTCGAAAAGAAGAAAGCATCGATAGGAAAGACAAAAGCTTCCAAGGTGGGAAATCGGCCTTTAACTGGTGGTGATAATGCTAGCAGTACGAATACGTCTGTCGAATACAACAATAGTGAGAAAGTTATTTCTGGAGGCCAGTCTGATCAGGCATCTAGCGAGAAGGTATACTATCAAATATTCTAAATATGTAGTTGTTAAAGAGTTATCGTTTACTTACTTCGTTCGCTTTGATTTATTAATTTATTAACTTAGAAATCAAAGTCAAAACCATCTGATGACATTTTTGCTGATGATCTGGGCATATTCGGTACCCCAGGAACTTCGAAGAAATCGAAAAAGAAAAGTGATATAAGTAATCAGAAAGGTAATGTAATATTGAAATGCTGCATTTAATTAGATCACTTCCCGTTAATTAAATTTTTAGCGTATCATTGGATACTGCTTAAATTCTATGGTCTTTATACTCATTTATAGGTGCGGAAGAAACTCCGAAAGCTAAATCTAGTATAGCTAAGAAGAAAGGATCGAAAAAAGCTGATAAAAAGCCCGCTAAAAAATACGATATCTTTGACAATGATGGTACATTTGATGATCCTTTAAATGCTGGTGGAAACTAAATCTTCACTGTAGTTCAAATTATTAATTTCACTGTTAAATTAGTTGCTTCTATGTTAAAGTTACTTTATATTTGCATGTATTATAGCATATAGACTAGTTAATGCCAAAAATAATAAAATTTAATACTTTATTATGCATGAATATTTTAGAAAGAAAATTTGTTTGACTACGTTACTGTATTATCAGTATATTGTATAAATGATCTAATTTAAATATTTTTATTTTTGATTTAAAGTTGATCCGATTTACATTTTTATCTTCGATTATCTACCAAGTATATTACTGAGGAAAAAGTTATTCATTTCCTGTATAAAAGTGTTAGTTATAAAATATAACCGAAAATTTAATACGTCATAACCAGTGATACATTTGTGTATAAAATGACTATGAGTACTTTTAACTTATAGTTATCGCGATGATATGGACTCGTAAATAAAATTAAATCATTAATCTCGTGTCTCTTTTACTTGAAATTTGAGTGCGATCAATTGTAATGTTTTTATTTCATTCGGTGGAATATACAGTATTTGCACACGTGCAAACATTGAAATTTTACAATCTAAAAAATCGTCAATTTTGCGCTATGCTGAGGTGTACAGTAGTCACCGAAAATCGAAGCGTATTGGCATGTAAATACGCGCAATAGTAGATGCACTATGCTTTATATAATAGTATTCTATTTCCAGTATATAATTATAATTGATCAACTGCAAGGTGAAGCCTCTCTGTTTACAATTATACAGTATTTGTAAATGCTTGTTGAGTTGTATTAGTTATGGACACAGACTAATTCTAGAATAGATTTGCAATTCCATTACAAAAAGCAAATAATCTCATTTATTGATATTTTAATCTGATATCTGAATATATTTTATATTTTAGAGCAATTCATAAAACAGTATAGGCCTATCAGTATAATACATTAACAGCAGTTAAGGAGTTAAGCTACAGCTTGGGCTTTTCTATCTCCTTTTCTTTGATAAAGCTGTTGTATTCTTCTATATTCGTCGGAGATGTTTTGCAAATCAATTCCATACATGATCGTTGATAACCATAATTGCCAGCATTCTTGGTTGAACCTGATGATACCTTCTTTCTTCTTTACCTTTTGAAATAATGGTAATGAATGCTTAATCCATACTACATTTTTTATGCCTTCGTTATCTGCTAAGTTTAGGGTGTTTAACTGATAATAAATAAAGGCAAACATCCTGCCATTGGTAACAATTGTGTTCATAGCTAATGGATTATCTATTAACTCTTGGTCTGTTCTTATCTTATACTCATTTACAGCAACAGCTCGCAAGACAGCATGACTGTACATGATTGCATGGCTTAGGAGTTGCGATGTGGGTCGCGATTTGGCTTTCAGATCGACGAGGAAGAGTGTATGAGGATAGGGGTAAGGGCTACCAGGATGAAATCCATAGGAAAGGTCTTTTTGAACTCGATATCGGGACATATCGATAACAGGTGAGACAGGGGCTACGTCTTGTATCGGCTGATTGAAAGTGGATTCTATTTCATTTTTGGAGGCGAACAGTTGTAGCGGCTTAGAAGAGCATAATAAAAAGCCTGGATGTCCTCTTACAGCGATATGATGTCGACTTCTGCGCCAATCGGCTGCAATTTTAGGTTTAAATGTAAACGATCGGTCAAGCAATTCAGGGTATTTATGAGCTTGTGTGGCTACAACTCTTAGCATATTTTGAGTTAAGCTGGTATTGTGATATTCGCGTGTGGCAATCTTTTCTTGATAGCCATAGACACGAGATTGAATGACACAATCTTTAATAAAACCTTCCAATTCTTTCGCGATTGGTTGTAATGATTCTTGCGTAGGTAAAGTAGCAGGTAAAGCATCGTCCGAGAGAACAGTCTTGGTTAAATACAAAGCTTGTTTTTCACCTTCCAATATCGTGACATGTGGGTGATAAACGTAAGCCGAAAAGGTTGAAAGGGTGCCCAAGCAATCTTTACGGTAAGTATATTTGACCCCTAATGTTCTCGTACGAGTGAGTGCTGAGATGGCAATACAACTAATTTTGGCCATTTCGCTTTGCAATGATCTGGAATATGTTGCAGTGATTAATTAAACTTCATGGAGGAATGAGACAACGGTCTTGATCGTTCAGAACGCGTGCTGCTGTTTCCGTATACTGCACCATCCAGTCAGAGTCGAAATGGGTAGTGGGAAAGCGCTTGGAGTAAGAGATTTCCGACTGACAGACGGGCATTGGTACTGAGCATACTCAGTGAGCGATCTAGAGTTCCAGGGTACAGTACACGTCCAGACGGTATACAGTACTGTAGTACTATACACTGTACACTGTATAGTGCTGATTACCAGTCTGAGTCATAGTGTACTGTATAGTGTATAGAACAATACTGCCATACTCTACTGTACCAGTGGTCAAGAACCAAGAAGTGCACCATGGACAAGGAGAAATTCCGATCTTCTGTAGTGATCTATGACTGCACGTTACCTTTGTATAGCAAAATTGGCGTTTATTAAGATATGACGCTGTGGATGTTGTATAAAACTGAAATTTAACTACCTATTTCAAATATATAGCTCATATCCTGTCGATTGATATGAGTTTTACTCCAAACTGGTCAATGCTTCTCCATTTATTCCATTTTTCGTCAGTATCTGTTCTGTAGTCACTGGCAGAGTACAGTACAGTATACTGTACTCTACAGTACGTACTGTAAAACTGTACTGTAGAGAGGCAGCGATACTGTACGTGTACAGCGTGTTTCGGAATGTGTTGCAACGAAATCCATACAAATTTCTATAAATTGTTACGTAACTTTCCGGGTTTTTTGGGGAGAAGAAAGCCTATGAGTTGAACGGTATGGATATGAGATGCATGTTGTACTCGCGCGCGCAATCGTAACGCAAATGTTCATCAAAGTTCAATGTTGAATTCACTATTTCCATAGTTTATTTGCTATCAGTATTTTGTACTGTACTGTAGTATGATGAATAAGAAAGCCCCCAAATTATGACCATGGACAGACGTACAGACAGTGAGATGATAGAAAGTCTTTTCGAACTTTTTGATTGCAAGATTATGAATGATCTTGTGACTTTCACTTGAAAATCCTTCTAGAAGTGTTCAAAGCTACTTCATCTGACATTTTAACATCACCATGTGATTAATTCATTCCATTTCACGGTAGAATACTGACCTTAGTTACATAATTAATAAGATGCTCTAATAAAACATCACCGACTAGAAAACTATCGATCAATGAAAGCGATTGTGGAGAGACATTCAAGTACATACGAAATCCCCTTCAGAAAGAACACGATTGCAATACTCTTCAATATGAAACACCAGCCGCTTTTGATACAGTAGACTATACATTGATCAAAGGACAACGCTATTGACAATAATACAATAGGATAGTGGAGTGATTGTATTCAACTTTCCTATTGTGAACAAATAAACTCATTTTGATTGGTCCATTCCGTTGCCATTACGACGGTCAAGGATACTTGTTACTCCAGTCAGTACGTTTACTATTGATGTTATTCCTTATGACCTATTTTAGTTGCCATTTGGATAAGATTATTGAAGGATCAAAAATAAAGTCACTTGAATACATCTAAATCGATCTTAGATTAGATTAAGATAGTTAGAACAATTACTTAATTTACTTGATAAACGCTTGCTTACCCACGGTATCATCTCATCGAAAGACGAGGAATCCATCAATCGCAACGATGTTTATTAAAGTTCGCTATAGCGGTAAGATTGAGATGGCGAGTGGTAAACATAGTTGTATTCTTATAAATAGGATGCAATTATACATCAACAAAATAAAGTCTAGACAACGTTAACAATATAGAGAGGCATTTTTTTATTGATATCGTCGACGAGTATTCGACATAAGAGTAGATATCCGTCTTCAGTCTTGTATATTTTAAAATACAGTATAAAAGTAAGCATATTCTCTATCGTATCCGTCAATTTCTAGATAGCAAAGAAGTAATCGTTAATCCTAATTGCCGTGTCTTTGTATTACTTGAAAGTTTAAAGAAGACTTGTTCACTAGAAAGTGATGGTAAGTAACGTGTTGCATGAAAATGTAGACATCTTTATTCTTCTATCCTTGATTAGTATAGCCCTCAAGTTTTATTCTATTAATATTGGCCAATTACGCTTGCTTATTGTCTATAAAATTACTTTACCTTTTATTGGTATCCTTGACTTAATGATTGATCGAATGATATTACCACAGTTACCGTCGATTTATCTGACGAAGAGGGCAACGTAAAATTTTTAAGCGATTCTTTGAATAGCTATGCTAATGAACATCTGAATGAGCGAAGCAGCTACATCTTAATCAGAGTTCAGAGTAAGTACAAGCATATCTACCCTCATATTATTGTACAGTATGTCAATAGAGTAAGTCTTCGACAAGGCAAACAAACATTGAAGCTGGGCGACGATAACCATCATTACTAAACGAATGACTCAATTCTCTTAAGTAACCTACTTAATAATATAATTATAGTTATGGAATGAGTAATAATTGTATTCAAATTTGGTATCATGCTTATTAGGTAGTAGTTGTATCGCTTAGTGGCATATCGTATCATACAATTGGAATAATACAATTTGCATACACTTAAGAAAAGTCTTCTAGATTAACTTCATAGTCATAACGACTACTGTTAAGAATGAAATTTTGAAAATTATTTAGAATCATCTAATGATACCAAAAATTACGTTCCCTTGCTTATCGATGATGAAGTAATCAATGAAGAATTCCTAGGTAAGCATTACAGTATGCCAGTATCGATAACCCTAATAGTCTTATTTTATTGATTGTTTAATTCCATCTTTAACATTTTATCACTTTATATCTCTTGCTTAATTACATATTGATCATAATAAGAAATTAAGTACAGTATAGGCCGGGCTAAAATAGTGATATACTGATGATGTAAGCGTTATTACAGAACTGGAGTATCACATATGGACTTAATGCTTACTCTTGTACTTATTTTGAGTAGCACGCTTGCAACCTAAAATTACCATCGAGGAATCAGCTAGTATGCAGAGTCTTACGACTAAGGCATTAGCCCCTCAAGCTCGACGAACTAGTTGGTTTGTCGGAAAGAAATCACGTAATGGGTCAAATAAGACGAAATCGATCAATGAAGCAAAATTGAAAACTGGCCAGGACAAAAGTACCACAGAAAAAAGATCGACATCACAAATTGGTAGGAAAATTAAATCTCCATCAAGAGAATTTAAGGCAGGTAATGCTTGATAAATAAGGAGTGCTTGATGAGGTAAAGAGGTTGATCTCAGGTTAACAAGTAGCAATAGCTGCTTAATAATTAATATAAATCATTGTTTCATGGCTATATTGTTAAATCGATTATGCCTATGGCTGTTAACTATCTGATATATTTTTGATATTAATATCACTGTTTATAAAATTTACTTCATAATATTGGCGCATTAGGCGTAAATACAATAATAATCAAGGATATCAGTCCGTTTATCTTATTACAGTATCATAAGATATATGAATCATCAGATACTCAAAAATATAAACGTTTATGATTTGAACTTAAATGATATTTAACCCAGATATTAAGATTCATCTTTTCAAGTCATTTCTTCAAGATAATACCTTTATAATTTTGTGTCATATTTATTCCGTAGTCAAATCTATTTTGATATAATGATGTATAAATTTGATTTATGTGACTACTATCTATTTTGTATTGCAATGGTGAGTCAATCCATTTAAAGCCAATCTTGGCAAGAAGCGGTATTCATATAATGTAACGTAGTTTTAACCTAGTATTGCTTAATTTATTTATCTGCATAAAGTAAAAGCCTATAAACGTGATTTAGTCAAGTTTAAACTCCTATTTGAGAGGAGTAATCATTAAATTTAATAAGTTATTCATTTCTTTGCTTAGATTGGATTTAAGCATTAAGTTATTGATATTACTTTTGTGATAACTAGTCCTGAGGCCATCTACCATCGTCAATGTCATGTTTAAATTTCATTTTTGGCAATCGAACCCATTTAATCGTGGGTCATAAACATGTACGATTAAAAGCCCTCAATAAATTTTATATTATATGCTCCATCATTACTCTTTATTCAGATATCTGCTACTACTGAGTTTACAATATTTGGACCCTGTGCTGTAAATACTGTTAGAGTGTTAATGGATTTTTTACATTAATTTCGTCATCAAATATAATTCGATTTTGATTTTGATTCTTACCCAGATATCGAAATTATCAATTATAAGGTTATAACTAGCTGAACAACTTAAATTTTAGATCACAGCTTTCCATTAAAGGATAATTTGACTTGACATGCCTGTTAATAATTGACATTAAGCAGAAGTTTTTTAGGTCAAGCGTTATTATTATTTAATTAAAAATCCTGAGAGTTTAGTAGTTTATTTTTTGCGCCTTTTATGAGATTGTTGCAGCGAGAAAGATATGCTGGACAGATTTATAAAATTGTTGACGCTACACAGTTTTTCAATATTCTGGGCCGGCTAATGACAACCAAGTAAATTACAATAACTTTCTCTCTCACTAAATTTTTAAAGTTTTCTACGTTTTTTTAAGACTATCGTCAACGTTCAATTAACTTTACTACTTTAGATTCTATTATATATAATGGTAGCAAATGAATCATATCGGTTTTGTACCAGCATTTGCAATTCGAATACAACTAAGAGTCACAAATGTCTGATTACACACTCTTATTATTGCTTAGTCTGTGTTAAATCCTTTATAAAAACAATTTTATTTTCAATAGCAGTTTTTAAGAACGTAAAATAGAAGGTTTGGACTAGCTATAAGTTTCTTAATTGAAATGAAAGTCTTAGAAAGAAATTTAATTTCAAGCAGATATACCCGGGCTGATTTAATCTTTTTGGGGTATTTCTGTGTAAGACTACAGGTGTAAAGTTTTCATATTCATATTCAGTACCTCATCAATGAACGAGTCGTTTAATATAAATTTTTCTAATTATTTCTGAAAGAATAAGGACAAAGTAAGAGTTGGAGTATTTTAAGTTCAATTACAAGGCTTTGCTAACGTACCCTTGAAAGAAGAACATAGATTGGCTGCAAAAACTGAGTACTGGTTTAATTCTGAATTATTAAAGCAGACAATTAATAGTTATGAAATTAACGTCTAGCAGTTATAGTCAGCCTATACATCGGTATACTGAAGCACTGTAAGTATGTACTATATTCATAACAAGCAATGCATACTTACAGAGCAAATAATCAATTAGTGCATGTATCATGAGATTTATGAATTTATATCAGCAATGAAGGCATGCTACTTTACAAACCATATTTTATTATAAATCAAATTTTATTGTAAATGTGTATCCCAATTCTCTTTCGCACTAATATTCTATACGTACAGTATGAGAGTATAAGTGTCAAATGCATTAATCGTGTAGTGAACTTATTTATATTTAATTTATCATACGAAACATACTCTATTTACTGGGTATATGCATAACCAGTAGCTAACCCTCTTTTATTTAGCTATTGCTCTTACTTGTCGGTCAACATTGCCTATAGTTATGGCATATTGATTTATAGAGATTATAGCTTTGGTACCATACATAAATTTTATTAATATACTGCGTACGATTGTATAAATATAGAACTATAGCTGTAGTGTATAATTATTGTATAAAAATACACGATTTAAGCTGCTTTTATCCTGCATATAATTACTATCCGCGTATGACTAATCGATTTCTATCTACTTAGTCAGACGTAATGACTTGTGTGGAATTATTACTAGTGATGATATCATATTTATTTTGAACTCTAATTTTTGGTAAGTGAGCGATTAGAATCAGTTTGGTCTAATTTTTTATTTATTAACTATAATTATAACCTACATCCATGGCAATCTACGTGTTAAAAAACCCATGCAATCATTTGTGTTTTACAAAACTCATATACGCTGTAATGATTGAGTACAGTAAAGCTATTTATGACTGCATGCATATGTGTTGGATCTTAATTGGAAAATATTTATAGGGAATACTAAGAAATTGACAAGTATCGTAAATATATTGAGAACATTTTCTAATAACTAGTTAACACTAGTATAATTAGCTACGTTCTATTGCTTATACGTTATTGTTATAAGCTATCTTAAAATGCACCTGCATATCACAATTGAGTACAAACAAGCTAAATTTTAGCCAGCTGATTTATTCTCATAATCTTAACTACGTATTATTAGTTGTTAGTTATACACTTACGTTGTCATCACTAACTATTTTGATTGACAACTATACATTTGATGGAGAATAAACAGTCTAATTGTTAATATTAATTTCTGTTTGACTGAGAAAACGGCGATAATCAACCTCAAAGGTATATTACTCATTTAACTTATTATCTACTTTTAAATTGTAATAATTCTAACAATTTATAACATAATAACTGATAGATGCATTCAATTCTTATAAAAGTTAATATTCTTTCAACAATTCCATAATTCGTGCTATTAACATTGAGTATGATCTCATCATAAGATTAAATAAGAATTAAATGCCAAGGAATTCTAAGTCAATGAGGATGCCTAATGGACATGTAATCATTATCATTTTTATCGACATAAGAAAGCGAAGATAGCTTGAAAGAACTTCTGTCCACGATAACATATTTATTTGATGTTTACGTATTTACTTATCCCGTTTTCTGAAAGACTATGACAACGACTATGCATTACGGTTTACGTTATTGATTAATATATCAAATAACTGTTGATAACTTGCGCTACATATAGATGTGATATGGCTAAGAATCACTTCCGTTCATAATGACATATTTAAAAAATATGATGTAGTATTGAAGTTGATACCCGCTCTATTTCCGTATAACCAGAGCAGTAACCAGCATACTACAATTTACAATATTATTGTAAATAAAAATATCAAATAGCTATGGGCTACATCGTATAAAAAGGCGTACTCGTATAGCCTTGGGAAAAGATCTATTCAGAATGACTTATTAAATTAGAGTAGTGTAGTATTCGAATATTTACTTTGCTTATTTTAGGAAGGCTACGACAATAATCCTTCTATAATATCGCCAAATTTGACCTTAAAAATGGTACCAGACACCAATCTATAGATTGAACTATATAGAAAAGTCTATATAGCCCAGAAAAACGCTCCTTCATATTTACATATTTTATCAGGGTTACATATTATTCAGATATTTATTTACCTTATTTTCTAGTAGACTAAGACAATAGTCAAAGTGATAGCAACCACTTAATTTACTTATAGAAAAAAATGAATTGTAAATGCATGTGCTCAAGAAATTATGGATAGTTACAAGCGGGGGCGCTATAGCCAGCATAGTTGATATGTTGACGTAATTTGGAAAATAAATTTACATTACGACTAGACAAAGTCAAGAAATGATTACTCATGATTCACACTATTTGTATTTCGTGTTGCATACCCATAATTTCAGTTGTAATAACAAACTTTACTATAATACGGTATCCTCAGATATGCAAAAACTAATATTTAAGGTATACTACGGATGTCTTCACCCTATAATATTCATGAATACAGTAGTAAAAGATCAAAGTCCGCCATTAATATGTTGTCCGTGGATATCAGCTAATTTTATAACAGTTGCCTAATCGATTGTATTAACTACATCGCCTTTATAATAATACTGTATAGATATTATCAAGACTAATTACGATTAAGTTTGCTCTCGAGGAAGTAGTAGTTCTCAATTATATTTTTTTCTTGTACCAGTTCCTACAGTAAGAGCTGATCTTAGAGAAAAAATTGAATCATCCTGTTATACAGCGAGTACTATTTGGCTTAATAACAGCAACATTTTAACCCGTAAATCAATTTCAAATCACTTCCGCATTTATTTAACAATTTTCTTTTCGCTTGGCAACCTTACCAATAATTGCTATCCAAAAAAATTGATGATAGTCCTATAGGACTAGAAGAAAGCTGTCATCGCTAAAGGGTCCAAAATGCGGTTTAACTGATTGTTATGCTATTTCATTCTTAATGACAAAATTATATTATGCGGTTAAGATGAATGAATAGAATTACGATATTTTAAGTGATGCAAGTAGAATATTTTTCTTACTACTACATACTGATGAGCTTTATTGATTGACGACTGGATTAATTCCATGTGGTAGCCATATGTTGCTGATTACTGAGCATTTTTGAAAAATAGTTTTATTATTGACTGTGTGCATACTTTTTATTGATGGAAACATACGATAGCAAGTAACTGATTCATCACCGATAAAACTGGAATTATAAATAGGATCCCATTGCATTAGTTGGCTATTGATTCATTCTTCTTCTTTTATTCTGTTATTTTAAATATAGCCACGGTATAATAAGGGGAGGAGGCAATTATGATATGATCTAAATGGAAGAAATAGTACGAGAACATAGAAAAAATCGAAACAGATAGAGTGGATAGCGCTGGAAAACATCAGCTGTATTATAGAATTAATGAACTAATTGACATTAGAATGGCAAAGCCATCCATCAATCTTTCATTATACCTCATCAATATTCAAATTATTGCATACCATAGATCAATACAACAGTAATATCCTTCAGGTGGCTTAACTCATTTCGATCCTGTTTTACAATACTTTTAATTGAATATCATTTGCATTAGTTATACAATCTCGTGAATTGGGATTGTATTAGTACTCTGCCACTATTATTATAGTAGAACTAAGCAAACGGCCACGATCATCATTCTTGCTGGAACATTGTCTACACCCTCTATCATTCCACTGGCTACGGACAATCTATGGACAAAAATTCTTTTTCAATCATTAAATAGACTCAGATATTACCCATAGATTGCCTATACTAGTTTATCAATAGCATTATCCCTTATTTTTCCTATTATGATTACTATGCCCTTATATTATCATTGGAATTTATGATTTTATCATAATTAATTGCCTCACAAGACATCTTGTAAGTAACAGAGAAAAAATTTTCTTTACCTACCTTGTAATTTGCATT